GCTACAGGCATTGGCTAGTTTGCATTCTTGTCCTCTGTTAGAGGATTTAAATGAATGGAGTCAATGGGAGCTTATATTCAAACCTTTCCATGGCTCCCTCAAAGATTTTATTGAAAGAAATGCAGGTAGGTGTTTGTACAGACAAGGTGGGAAATTGGTAGGAATAGAAAATTTCTGGAAACAATTCTCAGATGCAATGACCTCATTGACATCTTCCGTTTTGACCAATGACAGCAAATACAGGCTTGGCAGCGTTGGAGGTGGCGCCAAGTTTGTTGCTCAGAATCACTTCCGACACAGGAGACACGTATTTCTCCAACGCCGCCTTGACCCTTGACCCCGTGGGGACAGCTGGTCACCTCGTGTCCATTGTTGTAGCCGATGGGATCACAAATGCTCCCACGGCCCTCCTGGCGAATCATATGCAGAGTTCCCTGGCGGCGGCTGTGGCTGAAGAAGGTAGCAGAGAAATATTTAAGCCTCCCTTGCATTGTTTTTGAAAACACAGCCTTGTTATCTAACTAAAATTTGCTTTTGGGTCTAGATCTGTCTCGAGCTGAAGAGGACATGTCATGTTACACTACAGTGGCAAATTTCCTTTTGGAGTGTTTGGTTCGAATTCCGAATAGAATCTGTCAGGCTCTTTTGCAGCAGGTTAGTTGCACTGTATTTACAAGTCTTTATACAGCCGAACATGTTCATCCATTTAAGCCGATTGTCCGTTAAATTGAAAATGACCTTTTTTCTTCGTCCATCCAAATATTGTACATACAGTAAATGTTAAAAACAAACTTCAAACTGTTTGAAAAGCTTTAAAGTGAAAAGCAAATTAGTGTTTAACCAAATGTTTCTGGGTAAAACCTGTAGTCTGTTTTATGCTACTGCAACAGTTAAACGATTTGGCGACTCCAGGGCGTGTCAAACTGATTTTTGTCGCGGGCCACTTTGGAATTACGTCTTCTCTCGGAGCGCCGTTATTACAGTGAAACCACAAAATTGTTTAATCGTCTCACAACAAATGAATGTTTGTTTTGAATGAATGTTTGGAAATCAGTCAACTCAACAACAATCGTTTGTTTAATTGTAATTCAAGCGAGTGGAAACAGGGCAACATCATTATTGCAAAATCTCAACGTTATTTCTTACACATGACAATTTGACATTTCGGTACAGATTTTAGCGAGGATCACGCAAGTTGACACACATGATTTGATTTCGCGGCCCGCATAAAATGACCCGGCGGGCCAGATCGGGCCCCCGGGCCTTGAGTTTGATACCAGTGTGCTACTTATTTTAGGATCAACTATATAAACCATTAAAGATAAGAAATGTTAACATGCGATTTAAAACATTGCTTGAGGAGCACAAATTGATTCCCATTCTCACATCTCTTAAAATTAACCACTTTGAAGTCAGGGAAAGGATTGTCATTGACTTGGGCGTTCCACAATATTTACATTCTAAAGTAAAATGTGCCAGATGAATGGTCACTTTATTCGTGGGATTAGATGAATCGTATTCATGGTTTATTTCAGTAGAATCATTCTTTTTTTTTTGAAATAACACACGTCTCCTAAAAATCATCACTGGTATCATTGCTCTCAACTGACTGTGACCTTCAGGTGTTTTTAGAGCCTTTGTCCAGAGTCTTGGGTCAAACAAAGTCAAAACTGGTCCTAATCACTGTGGCCCAGTCAAACCCGAGGCACATAAACTGTTTGCATCGACTTGGAATCCTTATGGGCATCACAGAGTGGTTGAAGGACTACCAAAAAAAGCTGACAACATCGCAGATCCCAAATGGCGCCTCATACTCAGGACCTTTACATCAGCCGAAAGTCCAAACACAGGTGAATGCTCATTTTATTTCAATGTAACTGAATATACCAATGTATGTGGCTTTAAATGCCAGTTTTATTAAAAATAGATAGAAATTGACTGATCATTTCATACAGCACTTTATTTTCAAATGGCCCTGGCCAAAATATAATTTATTGAAGGCTTTGTAACTAATTAATCAATTTTACTGTTCATCATATTTGAATTCAGTGTGCTCACGAGAAACAATAAGCATCGTTTTTCAATTGTAATTAAAAAAAGAAAAACTCAACAACTTAAACCACAAAATTAAAGCCATTTTTTTTCCCAACTTGTCTTTTCCACACCCGAAAAGAATTCGTGCAATGTTCAACCAAGTAGTCAGGAGGCCACAACAACTTAGAGATGAGCTGTTGCCACCACAAAAAGCATTTGAGAGTTCACTCTTTGGTTCTTTGGCGATTTTTTTGTCATTATTCCAAACATTCAAATGAGATACTTTGAAAGCCATGATGTCTTTCTCCAACATTTCTTGGTAAAAATCGAACATGTCACTATCATTGATGTGCCTAATAAATATAACTAGGGCACAGAGGGAAAGTCCCTTGTCATCTAGTGTGCAGAAACAGAAATCTGTGATTACATTTTATTCCCTCCCCCCCGTAATTAATTTTGCACAATTAATACGTTAAGCCTGGGCGGTAAGAATTATGTCATGTCTCATCGTTGTCGGTTGTGTTTATGTATTCCAGCTCTGGCAAAGTGATCATACAATGTGCTTTGTTTATGACTTCAGTCTAATGTGGTGGATTCTGAGAGCAGCAGTCTGTCAGGCGAGAACATGAGTGACGATGAGGGTGTAGCAGACAACAACGCAACAGACAGCGGTTTATCCTCCAGTCCTCTCAACCACGGCCTTCAACAAGGTGATTGGCAGCAAGACGTTATTATTCTCTGGCTGTTCATTTGATTGCTTTTAAATTCGAAATGACTAGAAGAATACATCATGCAAATAGATGCAATTTTATTCGAGCAAATAGAATACAGATATATACTATTTGAATTGCACAAGAAGGAGAAGATCTAGCGGAGGAAGAATCGGCCGAAGAAGAACTGTTTGTTGAGATGTCGGACAACTGCAGCGAAGCCCAAGCCGTGTGCAGCAATCCGTCAGAACTTCTGGATTTGAATGAGGACGAGCTGGCCACTTCTCAACCTGAGCCCACTTTAGATGTTCACAGAGCAATAATTGAGGAAATAAGGTCTGTTGTCTTTTTTTTTTTTTTTACTTGTTTGATTCAGTTTCCCAAAAGTAATCCAACGATATGTTTCACTCATTTTTCTTTTTATGACAGAAAAAAAGAGTTTGGTATTGGTGTGGAACTGACATCTGAAGGTCAAAACCTGATCCAGGCCCACCAGTACCGGCTTGGCAGAAGTTTGGATCGCCTCTCGACCGAGCTCTACAGCAAAGACACACATTTTGTTTTGGAACTCATTCAGGTGTTTGTCCCCTTTAACACACTTTTTAAATCTGTTGCATTTATATATCTGTTGCTGCACTTCAAAACATGTTTATTGGTGTGTAGAATTGCCGATGCATCTCAAGACCGTGTGCCTGCAAGCCATATACTTCCCGCTCGGTTCTGTCATCCTAACCGTGTATTTACATTATCAATAATCCTGTAAAATGAGTGACATTAATTTCGCATTTTCTTTCCTCTCTTAAATTTGCTTCTTAAGATATACAGTGTGGATTCTTTTTCGATTCATCTCCCTGTTAAATAATTGCTTGTGAATAATACAGTGGCAGATTGTACATCAACAGAAATTTCTTTCTTTATTTTTTTTAATGAGGCCCATGCCTATTTCGAAACGGACATGCACATGCTATAATTTCTTGTAGTTAGCCTTGTTTTGATTTTTGGATGAGTTGAAATTGTGCACGATGACTTTGACGGGCAAGCAGAGGATCACGCATTCTTTAGATGTGGAAGCTGTGCTCGACTGAAGAGAAACACAGTATTGCATCTGCAACCATGACTTACTCATTCTAACTTTTACTCCATTTCCAGAATGCAGATGACAACAATTACCCATCAGGTTCTGATGTTGTTCCAGCACTGGCTTTTGTGGTTGAGAGGGACTGCATCACCATTCTCAACAATGAGACTGGCTTCCAGGAGGCAAACATAAAGGCTATATGTGATGTGGGTCAAAGTACCAAGGGCAAACACAAATATGGATATATCGGTATGTATTAGGATTTACAAAATCGCCTATCACCGCTCGAAAATTCTGTTTTAAATATGGACGAAAATATCTATTTTAAATATACTTCAATTTTGATAGTACATTTTTCAATGCATTTATCAAAGATCCATGATCCAAACCCAATAACAAGGGGTTTGAAGCAAACAACAAAATAGAAATATACAGATTTTTTTTTTCCAGTGCAAGGAACTCTCTTGCATAAAAATTACCACTTGAGGATGGCAAACTGCTTAACCAGAAACTATCAACTGCAACAACTCATTTTGTATTTTTTTTTTCACAAAAATCCACTCACTCAAAATTTTTACACAGTTGAGATACAATATTAGTCCTGCATATCCGTCCAAAATCAACAGATTTTTTTTTAGGCCTGTATCAAGTTGTAGTATGAGGCAGTTGTAAGCACAACTGCGTCATTTTTTTTGCCATCTAGTGGTGAATGGTGATACTACAACTTACAACTGCAATCAGCCCTTGCATACTAGCAGTTTGGCACCTCTGGATTTGCATATTCTATTTGTTTTCCTTTTTGAAATTATTTTTTTCATAAGTTTTTTAAAAAAATCCAATTTCCTCACATTTTTCTTGGAACTATATAGGTTGAATGTTTATTCATATTTTTTGAAGAATATTTTTTTTCATTAAATTGATTCACAAACAAGCATCATCACAGAGCAAATGAAAAGTCTTAAGTCAATGTATTACTGTATTTTATAAGACTGTGTCCTTTTAATCTCTGCAGGACAAAAGGGCATTGGCTTTAAGTCAGTATTCAAGGTCACAGACCGTCCAGAGATTCACTCCAATGGCTTCCATTTGTTTTTCGACAAGACCTGCGGCCCCATGGGATATATACTCCCCCACTGGATGGATGATGAGAGGCCCTTGAACCCACAGTTAAATGACTCCTTTCTTCACAGGTATTTCCAAAGCAATGTGGCGTAAAGTAACCCGATGCAGGGTACTAGGCCCTTGGACCCACAGTTAAATGACTCCTTACTTCACAGGTATTTCCAAGCAATGTGGCGTAAAGTAACCCGATGCAGGGTACGTCAATGGTCGGTGTCCTCGCAAACGGACAACACAACAAATCTTTCTAATCATTTCAAGCTGTACTTACCACCCAAGTGATTATGTGGAAAGCATAAAAAATGTGAGCATAGTCGAGTAAGGCCACTACTAACTTGCCGCTATTGGACAAAGTATGTGATTTTTCTTTGCCCGTGCGCTAAGGTGGTGAGAACAGTGCATGATTGCATCCCCACACTCGTCTCTAAAGTAGGTCACTTATTTTATGTTGTTCCACATTTGTCATACTGTTGAGTTAAAATGGTTTTCATACATTTTATTTGTGGTCGTCTTTTTCAGTTGGATTAAAAAAAATGTTGAAACACTATTTTCTTTAGTTTTCAGTATAGATGCTTTAAAATTGTCAATTAAAAAAAAATTGTGATAATAATGGAGATCGGCCAGAATCAAAAACACAATTGTGATAATTTTTTGCACAGCTCTACCCTACGTACATTGAACCCAAAAATACCATGGCCAAACTATTGGGTTGTGACACATTTTCATTTGCTCAATGGGTATCTCTGGCTCTCATGTTGAAACCACTTGTCTCAAGCATCAATGTGACAGTGAGCCACTTATGAACCTCTACATTTAATTTCTTAGCAGCTGGACAACTAAGATCTGCCTTCCTCTGCGCTCCGAGAGCCATCAGACCCGAAACCTGTTCCATGACGTGCACCCTTCCCTGCTGCTGTTTCTGCACCGGCTACGTTCGATCACCATCTACAATCAGGTACCTCCGGCACTTGCATGCTACTTGAAAGTGCAAAGGAACGAGTGGTCATGAAGCATATTTTTTCATGTCATTTATTTGTTTTTGTTTTCTGTGTTCTTTCTGCTCTCTCTGTAATGCTGCAGGCTGAGAGCCGCCTTGTAACGATGACACGTAAAGACCTGAGTCATAATGTGCTTGAGGTAGAGCACACAGATGGTACTGAACGCTGGCTAGTCGTCAAATCTACACTGCGGCCCAAGATGGTGATTCTCACACCTCCATCTGTTATGCAGTACACAGACACACTCAGACGTTGAATGAAATAGCGGCATCATTTCTGAAGTGATTCCTCGTGGGAAATTAAGAAGATTTTCGGAAACATGTACTGACTGATGTAGTAGGCCAGATTTAAGCCTTTCAGGGACAGCAGTTCCTACAGTGGACAGCTTGCCAGGTTACAGGTTATCGTTATTTGTGCATGAAAGGGTTAAACTACAGTGCCCAATTCTGATTTAAAGCCTACGATATATCTGCGTTTTTTGACTGTCTGTATAAATGTATATTTCCGATATCCAATATGGCTGTATTCACACTGATGGAACACGTGAAATAACCTGGATGCGCTGATGCTGATATTGCACATGAATATCTCCAAAAACATAATTATTAAACAAAATACAAATTCTAAAGGGGCGCAAATTAAAAATTTCAATGAGTGAAAAGTCCATTTATCGAAGTTGGTCAGACCACCTTCAATAAGCCCAATATTCAAAAGCAAAATGTCATTTTCATTTAAAACAACAAAAACACCAACTAAAATGAAATCTATTTTGATACCAAATAAAAAAATTGAATAAAATAAAACTTGACCCTTGTGATCAATCCAAAACCAAATATATGAGGAGTAGGAGAAAAAAAAAAATCTTTTCAAATTTAAACACAAAGGACCACAACAAAGAAGGAAATATATATTGGGATGAAATACTGTTGATAACAAATACACATTGGAGGGTGAACCCAAACAGAGGATAAATATCACACGTGTCAAGTACATGTATACTGTTCGTATGTATGTATGTAAATGATGTCAAGAATGTTGTGATGGTAGTAGTATTTACATGCTTAACTAATCACTTCCGGTATCATGCTCTTATTCTGAAAGGTAAGGCATACCACGTCTGGTAGCAGTAGTTGCTTACTCATCATAATAAAGTCATAAACATTTTGTCCAAAAAAAACTGTGTTCTGCCAATTCATAGAAAACTATTTTCCTGTTATCCTAGTCCTTTTCCATCTGGATAATGATTTCTTTTTTTCCTTCCTCTGAAGCTCAAAGAGAATGTTGAATCGACTGAGCTTGCGCTCGCCTTCCAACTCAACTGTGACAACTCGGGAAGTGACTATATAGGCCAACCGCCGAAACAGCCCGTCTTCGCCTACCTGCCTCTTCGCAGCTTTGGCTTCCGATTCATCGTACAAGGTTCCTTTATTTAGTTATTTATTGTGATGATAATGTACATTTATTCATTGTCTGTGTAATGTGAGCGAAGTGCGACACCTACAAGTAATCTACCAATCAACCGCTTTTTGAAAATTAGCCGGTCAACTTTGTGCATTTTGCAAGTTAGCTTCATGCTCCACAATAACCCTCCTATTATCTTTGGGATCAGTTTCGGTGCCATTCGATGATGGTCTTGAAATGATGACGTCATCTGAATGATTGCCATCATTGCTTCATATTTAAATGGAACAACACGTTCAATATGAACTGTTTTCAAAGTCCTATTTGTCACATGCAAGAATGTTATTTGGGGGTCGATTTGACCATGTGAGCGTTTTAGCTGTACATAACAAATAAGCGATATGTTAAATTCTATTTCTACAATGTGTAGTACTCAAATGCACCAGCAAGGGTCAGCAAAGCCAATTATTACAGTACAGAAGTATTTTTATTTATCTTTTTTTTTTTTTAACCCTTTCTTGCACCCTGTAACCTGATAACATAAGTTGTCCACTGTAGTGACCGCTGTCCCTGAAAGGGTTAAACAGTGAAAAAAATTAAGTTTTTTCACTGACACTGTCAGAGATGTATGACACTTATTCTACAATAGCTTTATTATGTGTGCCATTTGAAGTGGAGTACCACAGCAATGGGATGTTTCGAATGAATTTATTTAATCGTGTTTTGAATCTTGCCTCCAGCCTTCCTTTTTTTTTCTCCCCCCTCCCTTTTTTTTTTTTTTTTTTTTTTTTTTTTTTAGAGTTTACTTGTCATCTCCACGCTTTTATAAGTTTTCTCCTGGTATTCCGCTTCGTCCCACAAATGCCCGTTGCCCAAAGTTATCTGGGATTGGCTCCGGTTCATTCATGACCTCAACAAGAACAAGCATATAAAAAAAAAAAAAAAATTAAAAATAGATGGATGGCTGAAGATCAAAATGTAACATGAAATCGCCTTTTCTTTTTGCAATCATGGCACCAAATGAATAATTTGCTGTCATGCTCCGAATGTGTATGTGCGCAGTTACAGATCGTTTGGCATGACGAACAAACAACACAGGACGTGTAAAAAAAAAGTATCACCTTTGCATTCCAGCCAAGCAAATATGATATATTTTTTTCTTTCAGGTGACTTTGACATCCCTTCTTCTCGAGAGGACGTTGACAGAGACAGCTCATGGAATCAATGGCTCCGATCGGAGATACCACAACTCTTCCTTCAGGCCATGAAAGTCTTCAACGTAAGGTGGCATCTTGAAAAGCAATTCGAGTGAAATATGAGTTGAATTTAAACGTTCCCATTTTCCGATAGATCACACGGTAGAGAAAGAACTCACGAAACTTGTTTGGGATGTGCAGTCCAACTCCCGTGTTTTTATTCTTGCTCTTGCCAGGATCACCCAGAGTTCACAGGCCTTAGGGGGCTCTGCCAGTTCCTGCAGTTTATCCCCCTGCCTGACGAAGTGATGGACTTCTTTAAGCCCGTTGCCGGTCAGATTATCCAGTTGCTCAAGGGCAAGGCCTTCCTGCCTACACTCAGCTCAGGTATTACTCACACCTTCTTGAGTTGTAACATTAATGAGACAGTATATACAAGTGTCGTTTATTCCTCCTTTTTTGTTTTGTTCAACAGGCGGTCAGGTTGTGTACAAGCTACCATCCCAAGTGGCGGTCTGTAAGGATGCCGTGATTCGCAAGGTTATCAGCCAAGAGGAGCTGGAAAAGCATCTGTTGCTGTCATATCTCCACCCCGGTCTAAGCCCCGCCCCTCCTGCCTCTCTCCTATCCCACCTGGGTGTTCGGCACCTCAGGGGCTCCGCAGGCCAATTGCTTCCTATTCAACCATTTTTATTATTTTTTTTTTTTTTACTGCTTTGTTCACCATGTGCAGCTTTTTTTGTTCTTCCATTTAAAAAAAAGAAGAAGCAATCAATTTAAGGATTCGTGTGCATTCAGAGTTCTGTACTGAAATTGTTCATTTGTAATTCATTGCACAAAATCATTTACTGCAAGTAACTCTTTTACTTGTCTAGATGCTGGCCTGCGTCAGTTGGCCAGACTTCTTGTTTGCAACTTCAGAGCTGTGGAACACGGTTATGGAGACGGGGACTCAATTTTGCAGACGCTTAGGACTTTACCTATAATTCCTCTGGCTGACGGACGTGTGGTAGCGCTGGATGGAGACGGGGTGTTCTTCCCATTGGAACAAAGCAAGGAGAAGAAAAAGACAACCGAAGCCCAAACTGGTAATTATTATTCTGCGAATTGTGCTTGGTGAAGTTTTGGTCGATGAAAATCCTGCTGGATTGTCACTTGTAAATTTACTACTGCCCGAAGACAGCGGGGATAGGCTCCAATTTATCATTTCATTTTGCTTTTTCTTTGTGGGAGGTCTCTCCCTTCGGCACACCACTCCTTCCCTTTAGTAGGTAAAATACATGCTCCATATTATTTTCGGTCTAGAGGTGAACTTGTCCGCTCTAAAACCCCGTTCGTCTTTCCCCGGATGAACTCATTTGTTGTTTAAGCAGTGTGTTTGGAAATGTGTAAGATAATGACCCAATTATCTTCCAGTGAGTTTGCCAGAAGGGGAAACGGTCTTTCCGCAGACTTTTGAGTTCATTTTGCTGCCGCCATCACATGTGATATCATTGAAGATTAATGAGCCTGTTCGAGAAGACGCCATTACCTCCAATGGGTTTTTCAGATGAGCTTGCATGTTGGGGATTATGCGCAGACTCGTTCGTTCTCTAAACTTCAGTTTTTGCATTACTTTGGTGAAGGTTAATCTTTGTCTCTTTTTTTTCTAGAATTTTATTGGCTTGTCTCTGTACTTTTTGTCAAACTCCAGCTGGGCCTGTGTATTCTTATTGCTAATAAGTGGCATCTACCTGTGTACCACTGTTTTGTTCATGAAGTGAACTGCAGATAATGTCACTTTAGCCATCTGGAGGTTGATGCTGATGTCAGGTATGATTGGGTCTTTCAAGCTCTCATAATGTTTCTGTCAACAACTGCTACTGTTTTCCTTGATCCATTACTTTGACATTTGCTACTGAGTCTGACAGTGTTTTTTTTTTTTTTCTTCTTCTTCAGTGCATTGCAAATGGTTGCATTGGCTGTGGCCAGTGTTTGTGCAATAGCTGTGTACCTCTATTTTGTTCATGAAGTGAACTGCAGATAATGTGACTTTAGCCATCTGGAGGTTGATGCTGATGGCACGTATGATTGGGTCTTACCAGCTCACATAATGTTTCTGTCAACAACCGCTACTGTTTTCCTTGATCCATTACTTTGACATTTGCTACTGAGTCTGACAGTGTTTTTTTTTTTCCTTCTTTCTTCAGTGTATTGCAAATGGTTGCATTGGCTGTGGCCAGTGTTTGTGCAATAGCTCTGGTTGATTTTCTGTCTTCTCTTTGCTTCAGCATTACAGTACCGTATTTTTGCACTATAAGGCTTCGGATTATAAAGCGCACATTCAGTGACCGGCCTATTTCAAAACTGTTTTCATATAGAGGGCGCACTGCATTGTAAGGTGCATTGAATAGAAGTTATAATAATGGCTGCGGCTGTGCTATGCATCCACTAGATGGAGCTACGCTAAAGGTAATACAATACAATACAGCTTGATTTATATCGAGCGGAAAATACGGTACTTTTTATCCACTTATAGACATCTCTCTGGTTTCATTTTCTGTCCACCCTTGTATTAATGAACTGCAAAACCCAAATCTGCAAACGAGCATAGACATTCAGTGCAACAAACACACCGGGCAGTCACTTGGGAGGATTGAAACAATAGGTGACTCTAAATTGTGGATCAGATCCAGATTAAAACATGTTAATAAAGTTGGAACAAAACAAGAGCAGGGACTCCACACTGCACTGTACACACATCATGCACAAAAGCAAAACCTGTCACAGCTTGATTTATATCGAGCAGAAAATACGGTACTTTTTATCCACTTGCAGACATCTCTCTGGTTTCATTTTCTGTCCACCCTTGTATTAATGAACTGCAAAACCCCAATCTGCAAACGAGCATAGCCATTCAGTGCAACAAACACACCGGGCAGTCACTTGGAAGGATTGAAACAATAGGTGACTCTAAGTTGTGAATCAGATCCAGATCACAACATGTTAATAAAGTTGAAACAAAACAAGAGCAGGGACTTCACATTACACTGTACACACATCATGCACAAAAGCAAAACCTGTCAGAATGTAGGTCAGTTTGATCTCAGTTTGCTATTTTCAATTTAACTGAGAGGTTTATGTTATCGGATTCAATTCCAGCTCCAGCCTCCCTCTGCGGGCTGAATGACCCCTCAAAATTGTCCCTAGGTGTGAGTTTGAGCGTGAATGGTTGTTGGTCTGTGTGTGCCCTGCAATTGGCTGGCAACCAGTTCAGGGTGTCCCCTGCCTACTGCCCGAAGACGGCTGGGATAGGCTCCAGCACCCTCTGCGACCCTTATGAGTGGATCGGAAAATGGATGGATGGATGGGTGGTTTCTGTTGGCAATAAAAATAGATGAGAGGATTTATAAGACATCACATTTCCTTTCACTGGAGGAAGTGAATTTATGACACATTTGCTTGTTTTAAAGCGAACTCAGAATAGACACAGTAAAGAATACCACCGGACTTGTGCGTCATCACACCTAAATGCGGCATACATATTTTAAGGTTAGAAATGCGGGCATGCGTTTGATTCAAATGAACTCTCCTGCATTCTTCCATTTTAACTTCATCTTATGTTTTTCTTATGAGTCACAAACCATTCCATGGAGCATTTAATTGGCCTTTGCTTTAAGATATTTGGTTGAGTTGTCGTTTTTTTGTCTCCATGTAAACTCAATGTTGAAGTGTATGACAGTAGGCATGGAATGATATGAGTGACGTTTCTTTTCCAGGTCAGCGAGCGTAGCGAGTTGCAGTACTCGCTCTGAATGTTGAACTCTTCAGCTTTGAGGGAAGTCAAGTGTACAAAGTTGTATGTGATAGCAGAGAGACCACAGAGTGAATCACTGTGAACTCGTCTAAAATATTCAGCAGGACAGAGACAAAGTGCCAGTCTTGGAATGTAGGCCACTGACGGGCCTTCTTTAAGCGTTGGGGCAATGCTATCTTTTTAGGTGCATGTAGTGAAAGCTATTTGACAACCCAAAATGCCAAGATTTAGTTTTTATTTGCATTTTTTTGTGTCTCGTATAATGCATTTGCATGGTTTAATCCATCCATCCATCTGCCATTTATGTCAGCCTAAACATGAAAGCCCAGCACCACGAGTGTCCACCAATGGGTTCAGTTCCATTTGTGCTTCACATTATAAACAGCCTTTTGGCAAAATTGTCTTCTACCTGAGAGTTTTAAGCACGCTGTGGTAAATTTTGAAAAAAAAAATGTCAACTGAACGTTGAAATCATTTTTAGGTGAATGTGGCATTCTTGGCTGGAGAACTGTGTGGGCATTCAGGGCATTGTTTTGATCCTAGTAGAAAGTCTAGTGGGTTTTTTTTTTGGTTTTTTTTTTTTGGGAGGGGGGGGGGGGGGGGGTGCTGAGCCCATTGCTGACTTTCTCAGGTCGGGAGTGCCTCAAGGTTCCATCCTAGGACCTCCTCTATTTTCCTTGTATCTTCTTTGTCTTTGGGTAATCCTCTGAGGTTCTCTAATAATTATATGGTTGATTCACTTGAGCAATAAAATGTATACTGTGCAAAAAAAATAAAAATCAACTGTGTGTTGAGGAAACAAAAGGGAAAAGTTCCATTTTACTATTTAGCTTTAAATGTTAAGACGACTGAGGTCATCTTGTTTGTGGACCAAGTGATGCCACCACAGTTAATGGAGACCTGAATGCACTGACGCAATATTTGAAACCCACCATAACCACCGCCCCCCCCCCACCCCCCCAGGACACTTGTCCGCATTGTACGAGGATGTCAACATAGTTCACCCGTCTCTGATGAGCTGCATGGAACCTTTGGAAAGTCAGCAGGTGCGGGAGCTGCTGAGGAGACTGGGAGTTCATCAACTTGAGCCACAAGAGCTGCTGGAGCAGCACATCTACCCTGCATTGCAACATGAAAAGTGGAAGGTAGATATTTTATATGCTGCATCAGCTGTGCTGGCAGCTTAGAGAGAAAAAGCACTTTGTGATTTTATGTTAAGAAATGTAGGTCAGTCCAATTTTGCAAATCAAGCTTATTTTATGATCATTATCTCACGCATTCACTCACCTTTCTCCTTTTACTCTCACCTATTTGACCCACAGTCAAAGTCAGAGGCGGTGGTTGTGAGTTACCTGGTTTTCATCAAGCAGCACTGCATCTCCAGCCAAGAGTATGCAGACATTGCATTACCAGTCCTCACCAACAGGGGTCTGCTTTGCCCGGAGCAGAGCGGGGTACACTTCTCTGAAGCATACGGCAACATGGACCTGTCAAAGACACTGCCCGGTCGGTACACACTCAACATCATGTATTGTTGTTCAGATAGTTTTAATATGAGAATAACTCCAGTGGACCCTCTGTTGTGGGACATTGGTAAATTTCACAATGTTTCCCATTGAAATAAATGAAAGTGAGTTTTTCATTTCCATAGTCAAAGTGTTGATATCATAAAAACATGATTATGTGTACAGTTGTACTTTTGCAGATTAAAAACATAAAAACAAATGAATAGGGACCGCTGCTTTATGCTGTCTTGCTTTTTATCCTGAAGTACATTTAGTTTTATTCTTGCCATATGAAATTTGCTATGCAAATAAAAGTGGCATTGTCATTCAAATTTAGAGGTTCCACTCTATTGGCATCATAACTATTTTATGCATTGATTGATATGTACACTGTATGATGTGTATGCCATTATTGTGATCCTCTGCGATAACGTTTCCGTGACGATCTACCTTGCCACTCATCACCCAGGCTTCGACTGGATCCTCCTGAGTCCCAAATACTTGGAGGCAGACAATGATCTGGCAGGTTGGAGACAATTGTTCAGCAGACTGGGTGTCAGTGATGGTCTCATCATCCGAAAAGAGAGACAGACGCTCACCCCGAAAGAACTGGTGAGGACGACTTTGCTCAACTGTCACCTCACCTGCTTTGTAATCAATCACAATTCAGGCTCAAATGATGCTACTGCGCTCACAATAACTCAGGTTATAGTTTATGGGCAATCTTCCTCGTAATTATGGCGGCATAGCCTCATCTGTTCTTTTGCATGACCTTTACAGTCTTTGTATAGACCGAGAATTGTTTTTACCGTATTTTCCGGACTATAAGTCAGGCTGGAGTATAAATCGCATTTTGGGTGAAATTTATTTGATAAAATCCAATATCAAGAACAGACATGTCATCATGAAAGGCAAATAAAAATAGAGAACAACAGGTTGAATAAGTGTACGATATGCAGTAAAAGGTACACTAAAACTCCTGACATCACTCGCTGTTTTGAAAGTGAGCAGCAAGAGCAGGTGACAAAAGAGACATGTCAGCAGCTTGTAATTCCAAATGCCTGTTATAGCTCGGGCTGCAAACACAACTCATTGTTTTATAGATTTATAGTGCTGCCTCATGGACTAAGGTCATGATATACGGGACAGGGTAGATAAATATCCAATTCCAATCGGACCTTTAAACTCATTCACTCCCGAAGACGTTTTTAAACGTCTTTTCAGACTTGGTCTAGAATTGGCTGGTACGAATGATACATTTTCTCTTTCTTGCGTGCCCTTCCAGAATTCCAGTCCATGGTCAGTGGAAAGCGCAATGTGGCAACAAACTCCCGGGGAGAACTGTGTACTTGACGACTACCCATGCGAGGAGTTTCATGCCCTGGCCACAGCCCAGCTGACTGCCCCCTGCCTTCTGGCACAGAGAAAGGCTTTGCTAAATCTGCTGGCGACCAACTGGAACACAGGGTAACGCATGTTTGTCCCCGTGTCACATTCTGTCAAAACGAATATTGTCCCCGTGAGTAACAGAGGCATTCACTTGACGGTTTTAAAGAAGACAGACCTCAAAATAGCGCCTAGACTGAACAAGATAATGGTTCTAATGGGTAGCGTGTAATCCTGTCTAATGTGTCCATTTGGCGATTAGTGGAGCCATTATAAAGTTTTTTTTCGCTCTATTTGTCCTTTTTGAAGCTATCTACACCCGCAAGCGTTAGCTTACCGTGTTTTTGCGCCTGAACTCGGGGCAGTATTATAGTCCGCAGATTCCACTTTTTGCAGCGACCTAGGGTAAAAAAACGGTCTGAAAATGTCTGGGACTGAATTAATCTGTTTTTTTTTTTTTTAAGTGTCTCATGACTATGATGTCTGCACAATCTTAAATGAATAACTGACAGCCCCGCAACAAGTAGGTTAGTGCTAGATAACAGGCGTCAGAGAGTGACAATTGAACCTTAGTGGGCAAAGCAAAGTTCCGCCCATTAAATTGTCTGTGCTCTTTGAAAACCACGGGCCTGTCGGGATACATGCACTAAATTACATTTACTACACCGGTCAATTGCACATGCGATCATTTTTCCTTCCAAGCGTGAATAGAAACCGCTTTGTGAGTTTCACTCTGAATGCCCCATGCTGCAGAATAATCTGATCACGCAGTTCTGGCACTTTGGCGAGCAATGCAAAGTGTTAACATCGCTGAACTGGAATTTTGAATCTGACCTGCCTTATTTTCATGCGTTGTTCCAGGCATCGCTACTCTCAGTACCTCACCGCTCAGGTGCTGGACAGAGACGCTCGGCCGATCAGAACGACCAAGTCTTCCTTCTACCACTTCCTGTGTCGTCTCAAATGGATGCCAGCCTTTCGCCCACAGGAAGGCGAAAAGACAGAGATGACGTACCTCTGTCCGAACGCAATCTACTTGAATGCACCCGAAATCAACAACCTGCTTGGGACACACGTCTATTATGTGAACATGGAGCCAAGCGAGTTCACCAAATCCCTGGGTAAGAATCTGTCATGTCTCTGCGGCCAGAGCATAGGAATCGGAATCGGCGTTTATTTTAGTGGGATTTTTTTTTTTTTTTTAAGTATATATGTCCCGATTCAGACCTTGTTAGGTGAGCTTCCTTAAAAGAACGCAACCTCGAAATAAACATAGACGGCCAATCGACATGAATAGTCATCCTAACACCTTTTTTGCCTCTTTTAGGAATAAGGCAGAATGTATCGGTGGAGAATCTGATTGCCTATCTCAAGGAGTGGTGTATCAAACCGGCAGCAGATAAACAAGAATTCCCTGATGAGGTGTCAGAGGGGGCACATTTCACCTCCACCGTTCAGCACATCCATAACATCTACTCCTACCTGCACACCAACTGCCCCCAGAGCAGCCTGAAGGAGCTCTTCCAGCATAATCCGGCTGTATTCATCCAACTGGAAAACCGCAGGTACCCGTTTTGTTACCGGCAGCGTCAATATGTTGATTGTTCGAATCCACCGACTGTCACTAATCAAATGTTGGCGTTCCACAAGCGAAGTAATGACTGGTGTTCGGGACGTTTCTACCACCTGAGGGAGGTGTGCTGGAGTGACCCCACTCACATGTTCCAGCGCTACAGAACGCTGATCCGTGGAGCGGAGAACCCCATGGAGGAGCCCAAAGTCTTGGCTCCTTTTTATAGCAAATTGGAAGGCATGAAAGACTTCTTTGTCAGAGTAAGTCAACTCTCCTCGTGGACTTAAATAACACGTCTTTGTCTGATGTCTGGTTTCAGGAATTTTGGTTTGGTTGACTAAAAAAAAAAAAAAAAAATGCGATTGAGATGACAGTCTAAACTGTCACCTGCAACAAAGCCTTCTTTAACTATACAATGTTTTTAGTAAGATTTTCAAGTTATCATTGTCACATTATTAATTGCGATAACACTATTTTGTGAATTTTCTGAGATACAGTCGGTCTCAACCGCCAATAATCTTGGTCTTGTATCGACACTCTCAAGTCTCGATAGCCTCTAGTCTCGGTTGCGTGGTCTCGACTACGACACTGCTTTGCAATCAGCGGCTGTCTAACATCTCCATCCTCACTCAGTGCACCCAACTGAACTCATACTGTGTTCAACAGAAAGTGGACCAAAAATGAAGGAAAAGCCAACACTACCAATTCAAACCAAGTAAAAATGTCCTTTTCCAAAAAAAGTAAAGTCCCAAAATGTCAAAAGAAAAGGCAATTCCTTTGACGCTGGTTGAAATGAGGTCAACTGAGGTCCATCACTCCTACTTAGGTGACATGTGTTCACGTCGTACAGGATGATGTTTTGAACTTCTTTCGTTTTTAACTATTTGTCACACAGAAAAAAAAATAATAAAAATAAAAATACAGCCACTGTGGTGTTCAAACAAAGGCAACCCTGTAATTACCTCACATCAGCTCCGACTCGATAACCTGTTCAGTGTCAGATCGCCATGAGCTAAATCGATAATGATTTTCCTAATATGATGACATAACTGCCATTTTCTCAGCTCCTGAATGTGGATGGCAGCCCCAACATGCGGCAATATGTCGCCGTTTTGGAAATCATCGCCTCATCATCTCCCATCCCGACCGCTGAAGTGCTTCAGGATGTGTCAGTGCTCTACGCCACACTTGGTAAGACCGTCAGAGTAGAATTTGCCTGATCGTTAATTTCCCGAAAGCGGTATATTTTAAGAGACAATCATTTCTCCGCATGTCCGACAGCTGACAAATGTAAAATTCAAGTCTCTGGCGAACATGAGGAGGGTCCTCACTCCATGCTCGATGGCAATTACTCCTCCACTTTGAAAGGTGAGTGAAGCTTTCACGTTGATGCCCCCATCCCCCCTCCGTCGCCTGCTGATACTTTAAAGCAAGACAGAGAAACGCCGGTGCCTTTGACATCTTCGTCATTGCCTCTTCATCAGACATTAAATTAGTATCCATTCACACTGGGTGGGCCTTTATTCCTTCCAATTAGGTATGGTGTCTGACAAGAGGGTCTTCCCCACCAAGGATAAGAGCTGGGTGAGCCTGGCACGTAAACCCATGATAGCCGACAATAAAGAGCTGGAGAAGATCTTTAAACCTCGAAAGGAAGTCTGCCTCCTGGATCTGCCACCAGCAGAGAAGAAAACAGCACCAAGGAAAAATGCGGGCCTCTCTGGTACGCTTTCAATGCTTAGAACGTTTTGGGACATGTCGTCCAGTATTTGATATTTCCAAGACATTTGAATAGAAATCCCCGGAGGGAGTTAAGCCACATTTGCGGTTCCCTTTCAGTATGATAATAAATTTGAAAGGAAATCGGATGCCAGATGCCATTAAGTTTGTGACTGAAGTAAAAGGTCGGCGCATTGTTTCACAGTCATCCGTCTGTGACCGAAACAGCAAAGTCTGAACCGTCAACAGTGACGATAAATTCAGCATCTGCTAACTTTAACGTTTCGATCTAAAAGTCTCGTTTGATTTTCGTTGATTGTTGTTTGCCAAACTAACCATTTTGCTTACATCACAGGTGTCAAACTCTAAGGCCTGATCCGGCCCGCCACATCATTTTATGTGGCCCGCCAAAGCAAACCATGGGTGTCGACTTCGGTGATCCTTGCTAAAATGTGTACCGCAATGTCAAATTGTAATGTGTAGTAAATAATGACGTCGGGATTTTGCAATAATTTTGTTACCCTGTTTACACTCACTTGAACAAAATTTGAAAAAAAAAAAAAAGATGATATTCTCCATTGAAGGCCATTATCCATCCATTCATTTTCTGTATATTCTTGAAATCTGTTTAATCATTTATTCACAAAATGTGTCCCAGATGAAAGACCAAAGTCTCAGATATACATTTTGTCTTCATTTCATTTTCATATTTTGTGTCAAGAGTGATAAGCCATCAAATAAGGAGTGAACATGTGGCATGTTGCCCCACCATCTGAAAAGCTGGCTCTTGACATATGGGGTATGATGTCACAGGACAAAATTACTCATGTTCTCCTTTTTTTTTTCCCCAATTTATTTTTTAACTGGAAAATGAACATTGCATGTCGAGTATCACAAAATTATCAAACAATTTTAAGTGTTCAGTGGAGGGCCACCACAATGTGGCCACCTACGACAATGCATTGAATCTATTCCTGTATTAGTTAATAAACACACATTATAAAAGTACATGACCTGATTTTTTTTATTTTTTATTTGATTTCATTTTTTTTTTTTTTTTGACTGCCAGGGAGAACGGGGCCAGGTGAAACAGCCATCCCGGCCTTCAACGAGAATGACAGATTGGCATTCATGAACATCTGCGGTATCCGTCTGCTATCTCAGTGTGTCAAGATGGAGTCGCTCACTGAGAGCTGGAGGCCCTGTGCACCCATGCAAGCCATGGTGCGATCACTGATCCCCCATGTCCAGAAGTTCCTCTACCACCATGAGGAGCTGGCGGATATTTATTCGGAACTGATTGAGGATCACATCGCAGAAAAGATCAAGAGGCTTAAATTTGCACAAGTCAGTCAAGAGTCCTCGAAAAGCGAAATATTTGAAACACGCATCGAAATCGCGAGTTGGTGCTTACGAGTATCTCTTCGGTTATTTACAGGTGGGAAAACTGTATATCCGCTACCAGCTGGATTTGGATGACTACGAGGACGCCGTTGTGGAGTTGACAGATGTTATCTGTCTGTTGAAGGATAAGAAAGAATTGTGCATCCAAAAAGATCATCTCACAGCCAAGCTCGACATCTCCAGGTGTGTCTCTAATTTCTTGACTATTCCTGCCCTGGTATAGGTGATGATAGGTTCATATTAGAGCGAAAGTGGCCTCTATTTGCGGAGCAGATCCTAGAATTTGGTTTAAAAAAAAGCATGCTTTTTCAAGACGATGATAGGCAAGCTACCAAGACACTATAATGTGCTACAGGTAAGCTACAAGCTATTCTACTTGAAGTGAAGCTTCACTGCAGAAGTGAAGCTTCAAGACAGAAGTGAAGCTTCAAGACAGAAGTGAAGCTTCACAACAGAAGTGAAGCTTCACTACAGAAGCGAAGCTTCACGACACGGAAGCTATACCACCTGAGAAGTGTAGCGTGCTAAGCTACCATAAATTAACCAAAGTCGTAGGCTTTGGATGGGCAGGCACTCCAGAGACCCAACTTTTTTTTATCCAAGTACTTTTCCCATAAAATGCTCACTTTCAATATCTTTGCTTGTGTGTTTAAGGGAGCTGGTGAAAATGTTCTGCGCAGAAAGCGGTCACAGGAAAGAGCTGATGAATTTCCTCAGTGGCCTGATTACGTCCCTCGGTGTAAGCGATATGTGACCTCTTCACGGATTGACCAGTAATCCGTATTCAGGGAAAAGAGACTTGCTCGTGCGCTTTTCAGCCTGTCATTCTGTCCTCTCTCTCTCTCAAACGCACGCTCAAGCTGTAACCAGAACTAATGGAAGATCTCCCGAGAGGGAGCCCTGTTGGCATTACATGGCGACTTGCTCCCCCTTCCCATGAGAACAACGCACTCGCAAGAGGCTTTGCAAAGTGCGAAAGGCATTAATTATTGGTCTTACACCATCGCATATCCTTGAATATCCTTGTGCGATTGGATGGTGCAGCAGCTGCAGACGTGCGGCGCAACTGGGTCGCGTTATAATCAATGATAATCCACTCTGGCGAAGACCCAGCTGGATGTTTGATTAAAATAATTGAGTCTTTGCTCCGGATGTGCCAGCAAAAGAAACTTCAAAGTCCATATAATGCAGTCCTTCTCAAACATGGGAACAGCCTCCCACTGGGGGGTGCGCAGTGCGATGCCAGCGGGGGGGGGCAACGTGTGATCTCGGGCAACGTGACTTAGTGCTCGGTAACTTGACAGGTGCCGTCTAACCCAAACAATTCATTCTCACCAAAACAGGACCCGGCAGCCCTGAAAAGGTTTTTAATTAAGGAGGACATCAGAGAGCTGCCAAGTGAGGAGGAGCAGTGGGAAGTCCCGGAGCCTCCTCGGCCAGAGGTGACCCTGGAAAAAAGTAAGGATCAATTCACAGCACCGAGGCTCTCAAATTGTGCAGCCAATACATCTCTAATATTGTGTAGCGCTTTTGTGATGTGCTGATCTTCCTCTTCAGAGTTGGGCACCGGGCCAGTGTACACTGAACTGATGACAAAATGTTTATTTGAAGATATGCTATGATAATTGTTCGGGTGAGGGTTTGGTAACAAATGTTGAACTACTGGATTTTCTTTGCGACAGTATACTTAAAAAAAAAAGAACAATAATAATAGTGGTGCCCAAACTTACAAGTTTTTGGAGATATTTCTTCCAGCTCTTTATTTATTCTTTCAGGAAAAAAAAGAGTTGCCACACTTAAATTTTAACTGTCAAATTAAACATAAAACAGAGAGATTGACATTACACCACAAAGGGTGAATCAACTCATGTAGACAGGCAATATAAGTCATATGCTGCGTTCTTTATCCTCTGTGAAGAACGACCCTGGCGTATGAATCACACTTAAGTTCTTGGCCACCGCAAAAAAGTTGGCTGCTTCACCCCGGCAGAAAAATGTAAAGTGAGTCTGAATTGGCCTTTATCCTGCCCACAGGTGGCTAAGGTGAGCACAATTTTTTTTTACGGTAATTGGAATTGTCATAACTGTGTGTTTTTATCAAGTATAATGTTATAGGGTGTTATTGTTCTCTTTCAGAATCAAACAAATCAAACTTGTCTCATAAGGCACCACTGAATTTACTTGGTGTGAATCGATCCTATTGGATCGTTGTCGGAGGTGTTCAAAACGTGCCTCTCGACGCGAGGCAGTCGAATCATGAGAGATCACGTGCATGTAACTTGAGCACGGCAACTGGAGCATGAAATTGAATTTTAACAACGTACGGCTCATTTCGCTGAGCCTGTGTCAGTCAGTGAACGCTTCTGTCTGCAGTTTATCCTGTTCCTATCCTGTGACACTGCCCTTGTTTGCCGCCTTCATACCATATCTGTGTACCTATTTTCAATCGGGCATCAAAGCACTACACACACACACACACACGGATACAGCGTTACACGGGTTGCTCCTTACAAATGTAAATTTTGGCTTTGTTCACATTTCTGTTTTTTTTTTTTTTCAACGGCGACTCAAAGGTGCACCTGTTTTTACAGACCTCAAAGATCAGGAAGAGCGGACACAGCGGCTAATTGATTATATTTGATCTTTGTCGGAAAATGATTCATTTTTTTGTCCAGCACCAACCAGATGTCCCACTTCCACGAGTTCACCATTAGCTCGCCCTGAGCAACAAGACGGAAAGACGACGTTAATTTCCTGGCCTCCGCGAGCGCCTGTAGTCAATACAGGAAGCCATTACTCAGGTGTGAGGCATTCATGTTTATTTTCCATTATGCAGAAACCACATGCTCAGTTTTCCCCCCCCCCTCAAATTTTTGCAACAGGCCATGCCGATGAAGCAGCAGTCGAAGCCGCTTTGAAGATGTGGCCACCTCCTGCCCCGCCCAAGGACAGCGACCCGGAGAAGGACGTCTCCGCCAAAGGCAGCGACCGTGTTGGTCCACAGAAATTTGACAACAGCAACACTGAGGGCGAAAAACCATTCAAGACCACCAACAGCAGACCAGCAGACCAACCGGAACCTCAGAGAACTCCGAGCCAGTCTGATGCCGCTGCTGCTGCTGCTGCTACGGGCACAACCAAACCTCCAGGTGATACTTCCATTAAGGGTTTCCTAACCCTTGATGGAGCCAAGGCGCGTATTTGACATTTGAAACAAAAATGTGGGAAAAAAAAAGGAACAGAGGGAAAACATGAAACAAAAGTGAATCTGATCCAAACAAAGCCAGTCATGACAGCAACGGTGAGATGTTGTTCAACACTGTGACATGAGTCACGTTGGCGTTCAGTCTCCTCCGCCAAACCAGATGTCTCTTGTAGTACCAAGGCTGACCTGTGAGAGGCAGCATGACGCCACAGAGCATGCAGACTGCTTGAAAAAAGAATGAAGAAGCAAGATGTTAGGCTAACTCTTAGCTTATCGGGTAACTACATTGCAGGTCTTTTTTTTTTTCCTCTCATTTTTATTGTCATGAATAATTTAGTTGACTTGTTATCCCAACACCAAGTTAAAAGCACCGTTTAGTGTCCCGATCATCCAAACTTGGCATTGAGCATACACGACAGGAGTTGCAATTGTCGCTATTGAAGAGGTTTAAATATTTAACATCGGGGCGGTAGTCCCACTGAACACACATCACGCCACAGGGTAATCAGCCAGTTGAGAAACATCCAAAAATCGGCCCTTTCAAAAATATAGATGCAAATTTTAACCCTTAAAATTTGGTTTTTATTTATTTTAATGCAACCACACCAAAAGTCGTGTCAGGCCGCTTTTACGTTCATCCATTTTCGCCGACACAACCTCACATGAGCGATTATAGTCGCGACAGAGGAAATGGGGAAAAACTCCATCTTGACGAGAAGAAAAAAAAAAAAAAGAGACTTGGTGTGGAGACGCCATCTGCCTCAAACCGATGACGGAGGATAGACGACGGCTAGCAAGAGAGACATTGAGGAGGGATGGATGGGGAAAGGGAGGAAAGACCACTCGTCCATCCATGTTGATGTATGCTGATATGCAAATGTGATGGAAGTCTACTATCAATAAGTATAATGCTAATAATGCTCCCACACCAAAACGAAAAAAAAAAATAAACATTTGGTCTTGCCTGTCAGGGTGCCATCAACCAAGCGAAACATCGACATCTGGCCGCACAGAGTGGGGAGAGGAGGCGAGAGAGGGAAGCCTCACTGATGCCGAACCAGCTCCGAGTGCTCCATCTGTGCAGCCCATCGAGGCGGCGGGCGAGCAACCCATTCCAGACAGCCCGTATGTATGCTGGATGTCCTCAAAAGTCCATAGTCACTCCCACTTTTTCACAGCGATGCTTTTTATTTGTGTCTCCTCCCAAGTGTTGTGCCACAGTCGGTGGTGCTGCCCGGCGTATTCAAAGGTTCACAAGCGCCTACGGAGACCCAGAGACTCCTTCGGAACCTGGATTTTCCCATGTGGGACAAACTCCCGCAGCTCACACTTGAGGACTTGGACCTCACCTGCCAGAGACCCTCCACAGTCAGCACTCTTTTTTTTTTCTTAAATATGTTTATTGAGATGGAATACAATGGACAGCACTGATGTGCTGCTGGTTTTCATTTTCCACTCTTGCTCGCTTTCTCAATAAACGGTGCTGTTCTCGTCTAGGTGGTGATGACGGACCACAAGGACTTGAAAGCCATCGGCGAATGGGGCGAGTTACTGGTCAACTCCTTCCTCTGCCACTGGAGGGACAGCACGGACCCGGGCCGGCCCACGCGGGTCTTCTGGTGCAATCAGAGCGGCGAGAGCGGGCAGCCGTACGACTTCGAGCTGACCTTCGGGCCCGCGGGAGAGCAGCGCGGCGACGCGGCGGCGGAGGAGGAGGTGCTGTACGTGGAGGTGAAGTCCACCAAGAAGAGAGAGAGGTCGTTCATCGTGCTCTCGGCCAATGAGCTCCTCTTCGCGCTGACGAGGAAAGAACGCTACCACATCTTCCGGGTGTACAACGCAGGGGACGCTCAGAACGTGCGCCTGTGTCGCATTCAGAACCTGGCGCAGCATCTTCACACCAAGAAGTTGGAAATCTTTCTCTTCGTGTGAGGGGGGGCGGCGGGGACCTCTTATTTTGCCTTTGAAAGTTTACTCCTATTGCACTGATTTCAACTTCAAAAATTGCCTTTTATTATATGTATTTGATGTCTTCTTTTAATCTGCTGTGTTATTTTAATAATACTGATAATTGTTCTCGAGAAACCACTTTTTTTTTTTAGAAATGTAGCAGTTTTTTTAATGTATAACTTTATGAGACGTCACTGGGGCACATTGTTGTTTTAACCAAATTCGGATCGCACCTTTTCAATCTGTACACCTTTTTAGATAAAATCATTTCCATGTTACTGAAACGTGTCCTGTTTTTTTTTTTTAAGCCTAGACCATCATGTGCAGTGTGACAAGAGTAAAACTGACAGACGAAGTGATTTTTTTGCTGCGTCAAGCCAAGCGGAAGCAGGGCTGACTAGTTCCTTGCAGGTTTTCGTTTTCTGTGATAACTACACAATTACACTGTCCGGGGAACAAGGGTGGACTAAGATGTTGAAGACGTACACTGAATATATCCCCATCATGCTCGATTACCTTCACCCTATAACGCAATGAGACTTCTCCCTCCATCTTTCCAAAGCACACACACGGAAGGCGCTATTGTGGTGATGTGCATACAGGAAAAGGCGTTGCGAGGCTTCTGATGCAAGACCGTGGCAACCGTAGCGTTTTTTTTTTTTGTTAAAACGAAAAAATATGCTTGTTTGGCAGCATGTCTTTTTTTCATGAGGTAATAATCGAGAATACAATATAGTGATACTCTTCAGTGTTGTGTACTGCAACGTTGATCTCATAAATGCCTTGTGATATGTTAATCTCATTCAAATAATTCCGAAACGTAATAACATGAGAAACCCTTTTTCCACAGATCCAGGCTGAACATTTGTACCTGTGCTTTCAAGTGAAGACCTAACTGACTTAAAGCACCTCAAGATACCTCTTAATTTATTAAAGTTATTATAATTCCCCAACTTAATTTAACAGCGTAATTTACAAGTACTTCGTGATGAGCCACTGCTTTCCCACCATTACCATAGTACCGCAACTATGAAGTCACAATCATAGAAACCATCAAAATTGTACAAAAAAAAAACACAACAAAAGCAAGAAACTGTGCCACATAAACATAGCAAAATAAAATGACAAAATACATCCACCAGACACTGATTAGTAAATGTATTAATGATTGCTCTCGATGTGTTATGCGAGTCAAACTTCCCTGTCCTTGATCATCCACGAAGAGGTCACAAAAATATGTAGTGCAGGGATGCCTGACCTTTTTTGACCCAAGCACAGGCGCGCATACGCACGCATGCCCTGATGAGCAACAGCCGTAACAGCCCCAGAGGTGAACGAAACCGGTACATAATATGCATAACCACTCCCCCTTTCCACCAATCACAGCATGTTATCGTCATGCTCCACCCACTTTCACAGCTATCAGCGAATCATCAGCCATCATTCCAGCCAGGCCACACCCACTTTCCTGGATTTTTCTGCCTGGAAAAAAAAATTCAGGAAAAAAAATTTTTTGGAAAAAAAATTCAGAAAAAAGTTAAGAAAAAAGTTTAGAAAAAAATTGAAAATTTTGTTTTTTAAAAAATATAGATTTTTTAAAGTTAGATTTTGGTGATGTGTTTAAAAATGAAGTTGAGTTGAAGTGTTCTTTGTAATCAAGCTTTATTTCTTTTGCAGAGTAGACAATCACAAAAGCAGAGGATAAAGTTGCAAGTTGGATGGCAGTCTGCTTGTTGCTGGGCGGCGAAGTGGTCAGCTCTTGAGAAGAACGTGGGACAGGTGTGTTTACCTGAGAGGAAAGGCATCCGTGAGTTACACGCAAGTCAGTTTCTTGTGCAGACAAAGATGTGTTGGGCATGAAACTTACCAGGGAGATAAACTGTTGGGTCTTTCGAGGGCAGGAAGCAGATCATGTTTACTGCTGCCTGGGGGGAAAAAAAAAAAAAGTCAAAAAAGTAGTCATGATGATGCATTGAACGAGTGTAAATGTCTCCTACTTTTCAGGCTGGCCCAAAGTTTGACTTCAGCGCCTTGCGAATAACGGGGTGAAGAGCAAAAAGTGTTGCCTGCAGGTCTGTGCTCGTAGGTGGACTCTGGCGATGAGCAAGTTCCTCCATCTTGTGGCATGGAGGACCCAAGAACAATCTTCCTTCAACTCTGAACTGCGAAAATTTCGAAATTTTTATATGTAGTCAAAGGCAGCCGACCACACGAGGTTTTGAAGGTTAAAAAAAAGAACATAACTGGTGAGATGGTTGGCGTCTCTCGTGGGCGATGTGACGGCACTCCAACCTCACCCACCCGACTGCCTGCCTTCAGAATGCCATCCTGAGATCAGGAGCTAGTTTGCAAAGCCAACTTCGTTTTCGATTGAAGACGAGTTGCACAAAGAGATCGTGTCGTTTTGTCATTTTGGTTTCTTGGCCAGGGGTGTCAAACTCATTTCACATGGTGGGCCACATACGGCCTCGGTAGATGTCAAGTGGGCCGGATCATTAAAAATTATACCATACTCTGCTAGAAATAACCCAAATAACATGTCTTTCCTTTGTTTTGGTCTAAAGATGCACAAGAACAGTCGGAAAATGTTGAAATTTAATGAACATATCTTTTACAAAACATTTCATGAAGCACCTAAGATTTCCTTAGACAAATGTGCAATTTACTTTTATCAT